TGATCACTGATCGCTTTTGCATGATACTAGGTTGAGGCTGACCGTCCGTCTGGTAGTCTTAAGACACATATTTCTGTTCTCTTCTCCAATACTGCTACACCAACTTAGATAAAACTTTACAGGAGTAATGTACTAGTGGTTTTCTTGTCCATATTGTTAGGAATTTGGCTTAGAATTTATAATTGGTTGTGAGTTTTACACAACCCTGAACGCCTTTGGACTTCGATATGTAATTATCAATTTTTTCTTAAATGCCATTTAATTTAAGGAAGAGTCACCACACTGGCCATAGCTTTCGCAGAAGCGGTGGGTCTATCGCAGCGGCGGTGGAGTATTCGTCGCAGAAGCGGTGGATAAAATATGGCCGTTTGCTGTTGTCGGTAAGTATATGACTGAATTTTGTTTTATGTTTTAACGTTTTACTGGAAACACTCAGTGAGACTGGAGCCCACATATGTACTCTTTCAATCTATTACACGCACACGGTGCAATTCATTGCCGTTTATGCAAACACTTCTGTACAGTTTGATGAGGGGACGCCACTTTTACCTAATTTTGGTTAAAACACATACAAATGTGTGCAAAACGACCCAATAATACAACGGTGTCACATCGAATGAATGATACTTTCACAAATTAACCATAATTTGGAAAATTGGGAAATTATTATTGCCTGTTTGTAAAATAAATGACAAAAAATGTTTTCGTCGCAGACGGCGGTGGATTCGATTGCAACGCAGTGCGGTGGGCCCGATACCATTTTTGTATATTTTAAGAGTTTAACTTGACGTTAAGCACTTTTCAATTAAGTACAGCCCTTTTCTTACTTTAACATCTGAGAAACGTGTTTATTTGATGTTTAAAGCGATATTAATTATTATATATACGCTCGTACAAATATATGTCCAAGGTCCGCTTTCATTTTCCTTCGATTGAAAATTACTTCAGCCATAATTACCATAGAATAATCCACTTTTACCAATTTATTGCGGGTTATTTCTAAGTTTCAAGTATTTTTGAGTGTGAATGCACAATTCCAGATGAAAAGCGCAGGAAAGTAAGAACATATATAGTGACTGCCCTTTATCATATTTGTATTTCCAAGTTCATATTAGGTATCATGCATTTGACAACCCGGACCGTAGAGGAAACGGTGGAAACTAAGAGTCATAATATTTGACCTTGATGCACAACCAAAAGGAAATTTAGCAATGTGCAGGGAATTCCACAAGTGATGAATCCAGCCAAAATATCACATGTGTCAGACATATACATGTTACACGTGATCACGTGTTATACCTTATTTCTGACTTATTAAAAGCGGCATGGCAGGGATATATATATGCATATATTTTTGCATTACGGCATATGAGTTATTAAAACATAAAGTTAACACATATTTATGGCATTTTCAAGAGTATCATATAAGTTATAAAGATTTTGAATGGCTATACAATATGGCCATATAAACGGTTGTTTGAAAATATAATACATAAACATACAGTCAATTTCTTATTAAATAAACAGCAGTCGTGTATATAAATATATAAACTTTATAACACTGCATGTTTGTAACGTAATTTTTCATTGGAAAATCGAGACGTTTATTTAATTATAGAGATTTTTGGTTTATTTGTAACTTTATTTTCTGATTTATACACACATGCACAAGCATTATAAAGAATTCCAATAGCTATTAATGTTGCGAACAACCGTTTATATACGACCATATAATATGTTGGATTTATTTATAACGCACTCATAATACATCAAGCATTTTTGTTAGAAAAAAAAATGAGATAATTTCATACATCGACGGCAGCCATATATATAAAAAAGTACATTGTATATAAACGTCACGATTATCCAATGAAAAGTGACGTAACAAATGTGCAGTATTATAAACACGCGAAACTAAGGAGGTTCAATATAATTATATTCTTTAAATTAAACATGATGCTTGAATATGATAACATAAACATTAAGAGCGAAAAAAAAACTAAGGGGTCACTGATCTCATTTCCTGTACGTGAATTTGATTTTTTCCTTAATTGTGGTTATTTCAAGGTCATATAACTTAAATGTAAGTCTGAAAAATCTTTGTTTCCCCGCTTGTTATGTTCTTCACTATATTTGTGTACATTTTCAAAGAAAGACTGAATTCCATAAAATATTTCTATTACTTTTTTTTATTTCATTTCATATTAAACATATACCATATTTGAAACCATTTTTTTTCCGATAAATGTCACAATTTAAGTAAAAGGAAGAAAAACTAAAGCTACTAAACGCGTAGGTCTTTACAAAAAAAGTAATAGAGAAAACTTTTCCTGAAATAACTCTTACGCTGTAAACATAAAATGTATTTAAATTGGTGTTCTCAGTATATGGTAATATAACACAGTGACATTAAAAACTGAGGTTTTTCGTATTCAAGAAGCATGTTCTGTTTATCTGTACGAGTATCTCTTATATGTCTGTATGACAAAAAAATGTTGAACCTGGAACTTACGGTCTTTTTAAGTCTAAGGTTGAACGTGGATTATTCTATGATAATGATGGCTGAAGTAATTTTCAATGGAAGGAAAATGAAAGCGGACCTTGGACATATATTTGTACGAGCGTATATATAACAATAAATATCGTTTTAAACATCAAATAAGCACGTTTCTCAGATGTCAAAGTTAGAAAAGGGCTGTACTAAACTGAAAAGTGCCTTACGTCAAGTAAAAATTCTTAAAATATACAAAAATGGTATCGGGCCCACCGCACTGCGTTGCAATCGAATCCACCGCCGTCTGCGACGAAAACATTTTTGTCATTTATTTTATAAATATGAAATAATAATTTCCCAATTTTCCAAATTATGGTTAATTTGTGAAAGTATCATTCATTCGATGTGACACCGTTGTATTATTGGGTCGTTTTGCACACATTTGTATGTGTTTTAACCAAAATTAGGCAAAAGTGGCGTCCCCTCATCAAACTGTACAGAAGTGTTTGCATAAACGGCAATGAATTGCACCGTGTGCGTTTAATAGGTTGAAAGAGTACATATATGGGCTCCAGTCTCACTGAGTGTTTCCAGTAAAACATTAAAACATAAAACAAAATTCAGTCATATACTTACCGACAACAGCAAACGGCCATATTTTATCCACCGCTTCTGCGACGAATACTCCACCGCCGCTGCGATAGACCCACCGCTTCTGCGAAAGCTATGGCCAGTGTGGTCACACCCCTTTCAGGTTGTTTCGTACACGTTTGGGGCATTTAAACTGTAAATAAGAATGGTTCCACACAAGTATTCGTTAATGCACATCGTATGCTGATAGATTGACAACATGTACAACATTTTAACTTATATCGATATTTTGACACTATATGATAGTTCGAAATAGTATATTTACAAATACACCTCGTTTAATGAAAGATTGACATCGTATAAGGACACATTTACATCTCATACATTGTTAAATTGACTCTATGTAAGGATCATTCTGCATAATACACTGGTATTTTGACTCTATATTAGCACGGGGCAGGAACTGTTACACGAGTAATAAAGTTCTTATGAAGTAGTTCGAGTAAAATAGATATTACAGAATCCCTAAAGAAATTTCCAAATTAATTGCCAATTCATAAGTATAGACCTGCTTGTTTTTGGTCTTCATTCTTGCCATACATAACTACCTAATTATAATGCAAAATTGCAAACATAAAGCCCCTGCTAACAAATTTTACCTTTTGTGATAACTCTGAAGATGTCCTAGAGTTCTTATGATAACTTTAATTATTGTTTTTTTATTATTCAATAAGGTTGTAAATCTTTATGAAATGTAGTACGTTCATCATTTGCACAAACATGTGAATAAATGTTGGTAGGATATCATGTACAGTAAAAATAGAATCAGCGGTCGCCGATATTTAGCAGCATCATGGCGTAAACCGCAAAACAAAAATGTCTAAAAACTTACACGTTGTTCTCTGTTACACATATTTTAAGCTTAAGCAGACACTTTATAATTTTAACTTTACCGCGTTACGTAGTACAGTGGTAAAGTTATGTCTGCACGTTACGATTGAATAAGTCACATGAGTTAAAGAGATTGACCAATGTTTGATTGTTTTGTTACAAACTGACCAATCGAAATGAATGGTATGATAACATTGAGATAGGTAGAAGTCTTAACCTTATTTAGCACAAAACACAAACACAGTTTTGCAATGGGCAAGGCTTACGATAGTTTATTATTTGAGCAGTGTGTACAAGTACATGTTATTGTAAAACTTCGTTTTCATACATACAAATATACATTATGATATGACAAACCGTATACATATAAAAAGATAAACAATTTCACTTGTATATTATCATTTTGTGAATATCCTTACAAACTATATGAACCAAGATATGATAAGTCAGGTTAAAAACCAGAGATTAAACAATCAGCCCATTATAAGGAATGTTAAAAGACTCTGGAAAACTGTTCCTATCATACCAGGGTTAGTTACAGTATACCTATATAGCTTGTTACAAATATTTTATCAACATAAATGATTGTATGACTGTTACATATATTTTTATATAAAATCTGTTTAATGTCTTATGTTTCCGATTTATCACAAATATTTACTACAAAGCCATATGCAACAACTGGCTGAAATACAATATTCGAATTTGAATAAAATTGTCCTTCACAATCGAAACCGAGCGTAGAACTGATTTCCACGAGCATTTTACCGCCTAAAACCACATGACCAATCACTGATCACGTGATATACGCATCAGTGATCCGCGCACTAGTTTATGTGCGACATAACGTTGAGACATACGTTCTGCGGCTATACTACGTAACGCGCAGAACTTAAAAGTCTTAACCTTATTTAGCACAAAACACAAACACAGTTTTGCAATGGGCAAGGCTTACGATAGAACCTATACAAATGTTAGAGGAGGATATTCAAATTCGAATTATTCTCAACAATACAGCATACAATTACAATTTTAACTGTTTAGTAACAAAAAGTTTTTTCTCTAAAGAATCATCTATATAACCGTCTTTGGCCAAATCAGATTTCCAACGACCATGTCGCTTTAAACACCTATCTGAAATACCTTCTGCATTAGCAGCGGTGGTAGCACCGCTTGCTCTCAGTGAATGCGTTCCTAAATGCAAATCGGGTGCAACAAGCTTTAACTTAGAAACAATACACTCTTTTGCACGAGTGTAGCTCAACTTTTTATTTTTATGAATCAAAAAACATTTTTGACGTGACCTACAGGCAGGCCTAAAAATGTAAGAATCAGAATTAAACTTCTCATTGATGCAGTCTAAATACCTTTGTAACATAGTTACCGGACAGGCTGAAGTTTGACCTCTAGAAATAAGAACTTCTTTGCCACCCCTGTATATATCAGTTTTACTTTTCTTAATTGACAAAGACAAATATTCACTCTTAATACTTATATCATTACGGCGTAAATTGCTGACCTCATCAAAACGCAAAAAACCTGCATAACTTAACAAAATCATAGTTAAATCCCGGAGCACAATAACATCTGATGAATCTGAAAACATGTTACACAGTTCCTTTAAGTGATCAGAACTTATAATGTCCTTCTTTGTCCTGGGTCTAGAGTTGGTACGCTTTGCACACTCTAACATAGATTTTACTATAACGTTCTCTGTCGGATCTGCGAAGTCATTTATATTATGATACCATTTAATGCCGTAAAATGCTGCTGTAATTACACTGTCTGATTTACCAATATCGATTAAATTGGATAGATACATGGCTACGTGAATGGAATGTGCGGGATTGCACAAAAATCCCTTCTGTGTACAGAAATCTCTAAACGCTTTTACTTGATATGTATATTTGTCCACTGTGCTATCCGCCCTAGAATCTAATATATGTACAGCCATTCTGTCTATAACACGTTTTTCGTCGTTTATATTTACACCGGCATCATGAAACTTCCTTTTGAGTGTTTGTCTCAAGCCAGAACCTGAAAGCATAATTCTGAATTAATAATTCTTAAAAACTAAGAACATATTAACAAACTAAACTGTCGCTTATGACGAGTCACATCTCAATGCCATCATCCTGAAACTGAAAGGTTCCTTATTAAAAACTCCGTTGTTTCCTTTTCCCTTCGTTACCGCACCTATCACCGGTAAAACATAATAATCTTTCACAAACGTTTTAAAACTACCATTATCGTCTTTTAATAATGGCCAAAATGCTGAAGATTTCCACTCAGGAATTACTAAAGTACCTTTACATTTTTCCTTTTCTAACTTATCTATACACTGGATAACCATACTAGGCGGTGGAACTAACCAATTGTTGTCGTTAGACCAATTTTGTGTTAAACAATTAACTGCTTCCGTACCTGGTACCCACCATCTAGAATTAAACCTTTTACAATTGTTATTGTAATGTGTAGAAAACCTATCAATAGTAAATGGACCCCATTTTACATTTAAATATCTAAATACATCTTTATTTACAGACCAGTCATCACTATCAAAACATCTGCTAAGATAGTCAGCTTCTGCATTGCCACTTCTTGGTATCCATACAACTGTAAAAAATATGCCATTCGAATCGCAAACATTGTGTATTTTTAAACAAATTTCATGTAAATCATCAATGAAGCTGCCCTTATTCAAAATAAATTTGACATTCATATTGTCTGTGTAAAATACTACATTATTTTTGTGCAAAATTTGTAAATTGCTTCTCAACACTCTATGAATAGCCTCAAGTTCACGCCAAGTTGAACTTTTTTGCTTTTCAATTTCGGTCCAAGAACCGTGTACATTCGAACCATTCAATCTACAATAACCACCCGTATAGAATACGGTGCTCGCTTCCGGGAGCAACAGTGCACTAGACTCACTTCCGGGAGTACTTTTCTGTAAACAACCCTGATAATCTTGCTCACATCCGGGAGCTACCATTTCAACCACATCCACATCCGGTGGGAACCTTAAAATGCGTTCAAAACTATAGCCTGGATTTTCTTCCAGATATCTATTACAAAAAGGTGCGACACGTTCATGATTAGTAAGAATATATGAACCCTTTGCATTCTCATTTTCAAGAACTGACCGATTTTCTTTTGATATATAACCTCCGTATCCGACGGAGCTTGCATCGGTTGTCATACTCAAACTAGATGTAAAACATTTCTTTATGTGCTTACCCTTTGTATTCAAAATACGTGCATTATCTAGCCAAAAATGCAGCTCATTTAAAGCTTTCTCGCTTACCTTAACAGAAGCATTCCAACTTGCACGTGCTATAATACACTTGTATAGATACCTGGTTCTCCGACAGACTATCTTTCCTACAACGCTTTGAAGAGAAATTATTTGCCCTACAACGGCAGCTAAACACTTAACGTGTAACAAATCTAAATTATCTCTTGATAATTGAAAAATGACTGATTTTAATGACGATTCTAAACGAGCAATTCTTTCTTCTGCAATAAACATACAATTTGTGTTATAATCAATTGTATGACCCAACCAAGACACTAATCTTGATGGAGACCAACAACACTTGTTATCAGCAAGCAAAAACCCGAATTCGAGCAAAGAACTTCGCACAAAATTACTAGATATTTTTGCCTTTTCGTATTCAGTGTGACCACCTACTCCATCATCTAAAAACATGATAACTTTATGACCCAAAGATCTCCAATATTTAATGATAACCCGAAGTGTTTTTGTAAATATATGCCCAGCGGTGGATATTCCGAATGGCAATGAGTTATATACATAATATTTTTCAATCCCATTTTCAATATAACAAAAACCTAAATATTTAGTATGTTCCGGAAAAATATCTATGTGATGGTAAGCACTCTTTAAATCGAAAGAGTAAACAAATGTATTGAGGTCAAACATATTTTCTGCAGTGTTTATATCCTCAAATTTTATCTTAAATTTATGTAAGCAAGGATTAATATGCCTGCAATCTAACACTAACCTAGGTTTACCCACTTTATTGTAAGCTACTGTTAATGGGTTTATAACATAGGGCCTCTCTGTTACCTCAGAGATCACACTTTTTTCTAAAAGAGACTTTATCTCAGATTTAACGAAACATTCGTTTTCCCTTGCCGATTTGTTGTTTTTCAGATACACTTTTTGCGGCATATAACTAAACGGTAATTTGTAGCCATTTTTAACAACGTCTAAAATAAATACATTTTTAGACACATTTTCCCACTTACCAAAATTCTGCTTTAACCTGCCAACTGGGGAAATAGGATTATCTTTACCTTTTGACCCCGATACGTTTTCTACATTATTTACTTGAGCACCCGTACATGATTCATTTTTACTTACTTCTATCCTTCCCAAACATGCCATATCTACATGCTCATCTGTGCCTAAGACTAACTGTGAAGTCTCTAAAATATCAAAATTACAAGTACTTAACTTATTGTTCTGATAAGAACTGTTCTGCACACATTCGTTTTTCCAGTGACCGGCTTTGCCACACAAGAAACACAATCCTGGCCTTTGTCTTGTGCCCTGTTGAGTCTGTGATGACGATCCTGGAGTCTCCGGACGTCTATACGGCCAGCTGCTTTTTCTCGCCTTTTTTGTTTTGTCTGCCTTAGCCTTCCTGCTAGCACGTGCCTCAGCCTTGAAAATCCGCCTCTCATCATCGCTGTCACTAGCGATAGGGTTGGTTTCGTATTCGTTCACCATTTTCCAGCCCAAATCTGAAGTGTCAGCAAGCAACACCAGTTTTTGCCGCCTTTTCAATAACTCCCATGCTTGAATAATAGAATCTTTAGCAGACGATAAATCCTGTGTTTCTACGGCTGCTTGAGCGACTGCTAATTTGTCAATAACCTTTGCATTAAGTTTAAATTGTTCTTTATTACTTTTACGTTTAAATTTTGGCACGTTCAAAATTGAAATAGCAGAAGAAGGTTTGTCACTTATCTTCGAAAGCATGTTACTTATGCTTCCCAGAAGCTCCTCGTTGTTTGCTTTTACAACCTCTTTAACTTTCTCCTCAATAAACCCCGATATCTCCGCTCTATTCATGGCTGCTCAAAATTGTCCTTCACAATCGAAACCGAGCGTAGAACTGATTTCCACGAGCATTTTACCGCCTAAAACCACATGACCAATCACTGATCACGTGATATACGCATCAGTGATCCGCGCACTAGTTTATGTGCGACATAACGTTGAGACATACGTTCTGCGGCTATACTACGTAACGCGCAGAACTTAAAATTACAGGTATCAGTTTCTAGCGTCACGGTGTCAAGGGTATACTCATCATTTTTTCTAGAAAATCTTGTCCGGCCTTCACAGGTCAAACTACTGGTGGGATTTCAATGAAAGTGACCATACACAGTTTTTGGAGACATATGTTTTTGTGACAAAAACCCTTTTAGTTTTTATTGTTTTTGTCCTATGTTCCAAATTTTATCGTGCAGAATTTGAAGATTTTGAGTCACAAGAGCATGACACATCTTTAAGTTCCATATAAGTAATCGTACTAATACTGCATATAAATGGAGCTTCGTCATGCTTTTCAGTCTATGGAAATACCAGCATGAAGTGGCTGGTTATACGAATCAGAAAGAAAATTATTTCTTTAGGAATTAACAAATCTCATCTTCATTTACCATTCATTTTTCTTTGGAAAGATATAAAGCTAAGCTATTACATAAATACTATAAACGTTTTTACTATCTAGTTCTAAGGCATTATTGTTAGTTTTGAGTCACCGTTATATAAGAAAGATCATCACAGGATTTTTTGCAGATAACTTATCTCAAAAGGTTTACCTACGCTTTTTAAAACACGGTTTTATATTCTCAGAAAATGCCTTGACTTTCTATTTCTGACATGCACGACTAGGATCACTCTAAATAAATAATTTTAAGGAGTTTCCCGCATATTGTTTATTATATTAAATTTCTAAAAGGTAGTTTTCACTCTTACACGTTTAAAAAATTAATTACAGAATCTTCTAATCGGACATCTCCCTTACTTCCTGACCTTGAGTTTTCAAGTCTGACATAAATCTTAGGAAATTCCTTTAAATAATTTAAATCCGATCCGCCAAAATGTCTTCACTTCTTCTGAATATTTCATTTTAGTGTACTGTCCAGCGAAAACCATTCTACAGCAAATAATAAAAAGGCAATATTTGATAAAGGAATCTACCTATGGGCGAGTAATGTAGTACATTTTATGTACATTTTCATTTGATTTTCTTACTTCAAGTAGTTTAAAACATTTGGAAAATGCTGATTGTTTTCTATTAAATCTAAATCATTTTCTTCAAATGAGACTGCATATACATAACATGGATCTGTTTGGGTTGAAGATGTTTTTTTTCCATCAAACCATCAAAGACATACTTGCAAATGCATCGTTAATAAGTTCTTCGTCATCTGAACCAAAAAATGTGTCTTCTGTCGATGTGTGAACATGTTTAACAGGCATTTTGCGTAAACTCACAAATTGGGTTCACAAGCACCATCAAGTAACGTTTAGTTTACGGAAATGACAGCCTTTGTAAAACTATTTATTACAGTAATATGTTATGCAGATGACTAAATCATCGTTTGTCATTTATCACTTTAGTAGTTCGATATCACAATTCAATGTTTAACTTAAATCAACTTTGATATAAGACGGATTTTTGTTCGAGTCCTAAAAGCAGTTCGTGAGTTTCGATTATTTTATAGCCTTCATGCTAACGTTAATATTTTGCATAACTAAGACGTTTTATAAAGTTTCTCTCTTACAATATAAATATAGATTTACTAACCATCAGTATCAATATAAATACTTATATAGTAAACAAGTGAAGCGGCAGAAAATGACATCTTCTCACAAGATTGGGGTTCAAATCGTTTATGTACTGTGAGAAACAATTTTAGCAATATTAGGGGTCATCTACTACATATGACTAATCAATATGTGAAATATGAAGGCTTTGTGATAGGTTGTCAATATAAATGAGC